TCTGCAAGGCAGAGCCAGCCAGCCCACCTCGCAGAGCTTCTCTGAAGAGACAACTCAGCAGCAGATGCGATGCACCTGCCCGGGCATCCATGCAGCCACCGCTGTTACCAGCCCTGTCAGCCCCCAGCTCCGCGATTCAACACGGGGTCAGGCCATTGTTTCAGCAGTGCCACCTGTAGTTACAGGTCACTCCCATTAAGCTCTGAGCTTCCAAGACACTACTAGAAACTGTAAGATGTTCCGGGGAGGGAGGCGAGGCTTGGCTGATGGAGGGAGCATAGAAGGGGAGGAGAGGAGCAGCAGAGAGGGAGAGCTGCGAAAGACGGATGAGGGAAGGAGGACGGTCGCCTGCAGGTGCCACGGGTGTCCCCGACCTCCTCCACAGAACCCGGACAGCCGCCATGCAAGCAGTCCAGGGCGACAGAGGCACGGGAGACCTGCCAAGGTCCCAGGGCTGGTCTAGAGCAGGGCCAGGACTTGCGCCCGCTTCTCCCTGTTCTGGCGCCTGCTCCCTGCATCGCCAGAACCTGCTTCCCTTTGGGGGCTCACTCCCAGTCAGCACTGAGTCCCAGGGCCCCTAAATGCTCCCACCAACAGGCCAGGCGAGCCGTGCACCAGCCCCCTGGCTCCACTCACAAATGAGAACAGGGAGTAGAAACCAAAAGCGCCACTCCCACCCCTACAGGTGAGAACAGGCCAGGATGGCCCAGGGCCTCGCTCCAAGCCAGGTACCAAACCAGCGAGGTATCAGGTCCCTCAGCCCGTCATGCTCACGGTTCCTCCTTCCCCCAGCTCCCAAACAACGCTGACAGAGGCCTGCTGGCACCTGAAGCGAAATCCCAGCAATCCCAGTCCCACGGGGTCTTTCTCTGAACGGTGGGTTACTCTAACTGTCCTCACCCTGGACTGCATGTGACAGCACCAAAGGAAGCTCTTCGGGCTACCCTTCTGCCCCTCCAAAAACATGTGCTCCCACGCCTGCTACAGAACATCGGAGAGTACTGTAAGGCTCTGGTCAGCATAAGACAGAACGGGGACGGCCACACCAACAGGTCGGGAAGCTCAGAAATGGACCTACACGTGACTTCCCAGGAGACAGCCAAGGGCACTCAATGGGAAAGGAAAAGGCTCTTTTTTATTTATGTATTTGAAGAGGAGAGAGAGAGGGAGAGAAGGAAAGAGATCTCTGTCCACTGGTTCACTCTCTAAATGGCCACAATGGCCATGGCTGGACCAGGCCAAAGCCAGGGGCCCAGAGCTCCATGCACGGGGAGCAGGGGCCCAAGCCCTTCGACCGCATTCTGCTGCCTTCCCAGGCGCATTAGCAGGGAGCTGGGTTGGAAGTGGGCAGCGGGGACTGGAACAAGCACTCTGATACAGGATGCTGGCACCACAGGTGGCCTCATAGCTGGAAAGGCTCTTTTAACAAACGAAGCTAGGAGAACTGGAGGTCTACACTGAACAATCCCCACTTCACAACACACACAAACCCATCTGAGATGGGCGGTGGACCTAACCCGAAAGCAAGAAGAGGAACGCACTCACTGCTGCCACGTCCCACGGCTGGGCCCCCCCTCACCCCCACACAGGATGCCACCACGTTCCTGTCCAACAGCCAGCAGCTCACGGAGGCACCCTCTGAGGCCAGGTGCCTACCCCACTCATCGGGAGCCAGAGTGTCGGAGACACCTGCATTCCTGTGTCCACCACACTACACACAACAGCCAAGCTACAGCGTCAACCTGGGTGCCGATCCACAGCCGAGTGGACCGAGAAAACGGGGTGTGCGCACACAACGCAATGCTCTTCAGCCCGAGAAAAGGGGACATCTTGTCATCTGCAACAAGGCGGATGACCCGCGGAACCTGGCTCTCGGGGCAGTAGGCAAGCACAGAAAGACAAACACCCACCCTTCTCACTTTGGGCGGGGAAGCTAAAACAATCAACTCAAAAGCAGCAGAGAGCAGACTGGCAGTTACCAGAGGTGGCCAGCGGGGGCGCAGGTGAGCGAAGTGCCCAGACGATGGCGAGCAGGTAGGATGCCTCATCTCAGGAAGAGCCGGCGTCCGACAGGTGTTCCTGAGCGACTCAGCAAAGTGGACGCCAGTCCCGCCATGGGGAGCTATCAGAGGCTTTCCCCTTGAGACACGGTACCAGAATACAGTCGATGCTACCGTGGGATACATTCAAACTGAGAAATTTCAAATGTTCTGCCCACAGAAAGAATGTATTTGAGGTGAGGGATATGTTAACTAGATTTAATTATTCCACATGGCACTGCCACATCACTTTGTACTCCATAAACACAAAGTAGAATTTTTCAACTTACAATTAAAAATAAAAAACAACAGAGAACCTTCTATTGTCAAGAACCTTCTATTGTCTAATTTTAAGTTCCTATTTTTATAATATGCCAAGTACTTTCTTTCTTTTAATTTATTTATTTGAAAGGCAGAAAGAGATGGAGGTCTTCCATCTACTGGTTCACTCCCCAAACACTGAGAGCAGCCAGGAGCCTGGAACATCATAACATCACTTTGTACTGGGTCTCTCACGCAGGAGGAGGGATCCAAGCACTTGAGCCATCACCTGCTTCCTCCAGCGTGCATTAGAAGGAAGCTGGGGGCCAGTGCTGTGGCTCAGCACGTAAAGCTGCCACCTGCAGTGCTGGCATGCCATATGGCCGCCAGTTCGAGTCCCAGTACTCCACTTCCGATCCAGCTCTCTGCTATGGCCTGGGAAAGCAGTAGAAGATGGCCCAAGTCCTTGGGCCTCCGCACCCACGTGGGAGACCCAGAAGAAGTTCCTGGCTTCTGGCTTCGGATAGGCACAGCTCTGGCCATTGTGGCCATCTGAGGAGTGAACCAGCGGATGGGAGACCTCCCTCTCTCTTTCTGCCCCTGACTCTCTGAAATTCTGCCTTTTGAATAAATAGATAAATCTTTAAAATAAAAAAAAAAGGAAGCCGGAATCAGAAGTAGAGCCAGGCACTCTGATATGGATGCAGCCGTCTCAAGGGGCTTCTTAGCCACTGTGCCTAATGGCCATCCCCAAGCATTATCTCTTTATAAGCAAACTCAACCATTTATATATTTTCTGATCCTGGACAAAACAAAAAGAGAAGAGGCAACTTCAACCGATAGTGTGTTTAAGATGCCTATTTTGCTTCCCTCTCCGATTACTTAAGTAGTTACTTAAGTAATTTTCCACTTTTAAAAAACTAATCACACTCCACCCCAGCTTTCCATTCACACATGCCGTGGAGAAGCCAGAGAGTGAGAGACAGCAGGCTGGGCTGTACAGTGGGGAGACTGGGCCTGGGTGGGGAACACAAGAAACGCTGTCCTGAGTGTCACCGGCACCCAGGGCTGGGACCCGGTCACGTGTCCATCAGCAGGTGCAGGGGCAGGCTCCCAAGCGTTCCCTAACATCCCGCAGGTCAGGAATCTGGTGAGGACCGGATCTCTCCACCCCTCAACTGCTCCAGCCCTAGCAGCTGAAGCCTACCCTTGAGAAATCTGAAGGTGAAAGTTTAACAGGTAAACAGCTGAGAGGAGGGGAGCCCGACCGGCAGGCTAAGTCCCTTCCACGTAATTAAATCAGCCCCGTTGGCGCGGAGCCTCTCAGAGGCCGCCTGCACCGAGCCATCTATAAGAGGAAATGCAATTAAGGAGAGTCTCTTTCATACCTCCCCTTCTTCACTGCCCTTGCCGCAGGCGGCAGCTTAGCTCTTCCCAAGGATAGCTCTCTTGCAACGCTGCCCTGCGAGTTATAAGGCCTGAAGCAGGCCAGGTGTAATAAAGTGTAGTTCTCGGCGGCGGCCGGCTCAGCTCGCTCTGCCACCCAAACGCTGTCCCTCGCGGGCCACGGACAACTCCGTCTCAGCACAGTTTACGGTTCGGCCTCTCCCAAATTAACCCAACATCAAAACGGGAAACTGCTTTCAGAAATTAGCTGGCCATGGATTGACAGAAACAAGATCCTTTCTCAGTTGTTACTGCTGGAAACTGAAGGAAACTACAGCAACGGAGACCTCCAAAGAATTCACGGAAAATGTGTGTTACGAAAACTATGAATGAATTTCCAACTTCATTGTAACTTTATTGCAAAATAAAAAACTTCACACTAAGTTGTTATAACACATAGAAGAGGATCCAGTATGAAGCACTGATAAGATGTCACTTTCTAAAGGCCCTTTCATAAATTCTAAAACTGAAGCAAGAACAGACATCAAATTGATGGCAATGCCTGGGAGAAGAATGGTGAAATACCCAATGCTTTAGGAAAAGTTTCTCAAGTCAATGCCTGGAAGAAATCAGCAGTCTACAGATGGAAACACTGTTTTAGAGAGGATCAGATGGGGCTGGTGTTGCGGTTCAGGGTAAACCACCACTTACAACAGGGGCATCCTGCTGTGGAAGTGTCCGTTCAGTGTCCGTTCAAGTCCCGGCTACTCTGATTCTGATCCAGCTCCCTGGGAAGGCAGCAGAAGATGGCCCAGATGCTGGGCTCTGCCACCCTGTCGACTCGGCCTCCTCTTTCTATACACAGCCTGTGGTGAGCAGCAGGAGGCTGAGAGTTTTTGTTCCTTAGCTTTTAACTCCATCTGAGGGCCCCTCCTATGCCCAGGGTTCCTTTCCAGGCTGTGGGGCAGCTCGTCCTGTGTCTGGACCACACCAGCAACTCGTGGCACTGAATGCAGAAGTCATTATTTTAAGGCGGCGAGCCGGCACAGTCTGGCCTCCCCACGCAGCACCCTGGCCCTGGGTGCACCAGTCCACTGCACACACCCCTACGCCTGGCACAATGCCGGGCTGAGGGCAGGCTCTGGACGCCCACCATCCTTCACCCCTGCCGGCAAAGGGGCTTCATGCTCTGAACCAAGGTGGCGAAGGCGCCCCTGGGGGCCGGCTAGTGGCACCTGTCTCGCCAGCATCCCCTATGGACACTGGGGGGTGTCCCAGCCACTCCACTCCCGACCCAGCTCCCTGCGAATGTACCTGGGAGAAGCAGCAGAAGCCAGCCCAAGGGTATGGGCCCCTGCACCCACGTGGGAGACCCAGATGAGGCTCCCGGCTCCAGCGGGGCCCAACCCTGGCCATTGTGGCCATCTGGGGAGTGAATCAGCAGGTGGACGCTCTCTCTGTAACTCTTTCAAATACATAAATAATTAAACACACACACACACACTTCCAGGCTGACCTATCTGAATTTTCACTCCTCCTACACGGCCTACAAATCAGAGTTGCCAGGACAGCAGAGCAAGACACGGTGGCTGGGGCCCAAGGCGGCTGCCAGCGTTAATCACAGGTGGAGTTGGGCAATGGCTGGCTGCCTGGAGGCGGTGACCTGACATTCCAGTTTCAAAGGGAGGGGCGCGACAGTCTCAGAACCGGACAACAGGCAGACTGCAGAGGATAACCTGAGGGTTGCAGGGTTTCCAGTAGCAACGCCGCAGAAATGTGACCCTTCAAAACACCCTGGCCAGGAAAGTGGACGACGTGATCGGGGAGGGCTACCCATTTCAAGGGGGGTGGGGGGACGGACGCGAAGCCGAGCACGAAGAAGGCCCAACCAAGCGTTCCTCTGGCCGGGCTGGCAGCTCCGGGATTCGAACCTCCCGCCCGCTGAGACGCCTGCGCCCCGGCGCTGCGCGTTGCCCTGGAAACGGTCCTGCGCACGCGCGCGCCCTACTTTCCCCTCGCTCTCCCGGAGCTCCTTTGCCCCCTCCCCTCGGCGGCGGAACACCGCCAGCGACTGAACGTGCGGTCGAAGGACGCCGTCACGCTCGCCCTGCGGCCTAGGCCGCGGATCCCTCCGCCACGCCGCGGCCGGCGCGCGGCTGCCCGGCGGCACGCTCCCAACGGCTTCCCGCGCGCCGCGCCGCGCCCGCCCCACCCCCACCCTCTCCGCGCCCCAACCCCCAGCCCGCTCACCTGCCTCCCGCGTCTCCATGGCAACGCCCCCACGTCGGAGGAAAAAAAAAGCTTCGGGCTCTTCCGGGCCCCCTCCCGTGCCGCTCGAGAAGGCGCGGCGCCCCGCGGACGCTTCGCTTTTTTATTTGTAATTTTTTAAGAAAAGAGCCGGCGAGCTTATGGCGAATCTGCGGCATCCAACATGGCGGATGGAGTCTTCGCCCTCCTCCCCACGGGGCGCTGACGTCGGCGTAGCGGACGTCCGCCTCGGGTGACGTCCCCCAGCGCCGAGCGCGGCCGCGCCGCGCCAGTACGCATGCTCGGGCCCGGCGGCCGCGTCCGGCCCCGCTCCGCGGACCGCGGCGCTCCGCGTTTTGCGGCGCGCTCCGAGGGAGTCTCGCGAGTCCCGGGACCCGGGCGTGGGGCGCGGGCGTCGCCCCGGCGGCTGGGGCGGCCGGACGGGGGCAGCGAGTTCCGGCTCGGGTCCGCGTCTGCCCCGTGTGGACGCCTGCGGGGCAGCGAGTGAACTTTTTGGGGGCGGTTGTCTCCGTTTGCGGGTCCGTCGGCCGGCATGGCCGCGGCCCGTTCCGGAGCCCCCGGGCCGTGAGGCCGCGGGCCCTTCGTGACGGCGTGTGTGCGGTTGGCGGCTGGGCAGGCCCGGATGGCCGAGCCCCGCACCGCGGGCCGTGCGCGGGGTCGTGTTGCCCACGCGCGCGTCCGGGGTTAACTTGGGCTCGCAGCAGACGAGCGCGCCGTGGTGTGCGCTGGTCCTGGGAATACAGCTGTTCGCGGTTGAAATAAAATGCTGCGCTAACGTGGTAGCCCAGGGCACGGACGAGGCGCCAGGAAACAAGAAAAGGAAACGCAGTCGCCGAGTGACCCGAGTGGGGACTCCTGAGGTCTTGTCCATCGCTGCTGTGGGCCCACGGCCTCCCCGGGGCCTTTCTGCCTCGCGCTTTGTCCTGTCCTGGATCCCGGGCGCCCTAGCACACCCCGCCTATGTCCGGGCCAGAGCTGCCTGCTCCCCCAGCCCCTCATCACATAACCCAGCAGATCCAGCTGGGCGGGTGTCCGTGGACACACCAGATCCAGCTGGACTGGTGTCCGTGGACACACCAGATCCACCGGGACGGGGGTCCGTGGACACACCAGACCCAACGGGGCAGGTGTCCGTGGGCACACCAGATCCAGCTGGACAGGGGTCCGTGGACACACCAGATCCAGCGGGACGGGGGTCCGTGGGCACACCAGATCCAGCTGGACTGGTGTCCCTGGACACACCAGATCCAACGGGACAGGGGTCCGTGGACACACCAGATCCAGCTGGGCGGGTGTCCGTGGGCACACCAGATCCAGCTGGACGGGGGTCCGTGGACACACCAGATCCAGCTGGACGGGGGTCCGTGGGCACACCAGATCCAGCTGGACGGGGGTCCGTGGGCACACCAGATCCAGCTGGACGGGGGTCCGTGGGCACACCAGATCCAGCGGGACGGGGGTCCGTGGGCACACCAGATCCAGCTGGACGGGGGTCCGTGGACACACCAGATCCAACGGGGCAGGGGTCCCTGGACACACCAGATCCAGCTGGACAGGGGTCCGTGGGCACACCAGATCCAGCGGGACGGGGGTCCGTGGGCACACCAGATCCAGCTGGACGGGGGTCCGTGGACACACCAGATCCAGCTGGACAGGGGTCCGTGGGCACACCAGATCCAGCTGGACAGGTGTAATGCGCGCCGGTCTCCCGGTGGGGAAGGTGTGAGGTGCCCAGTGCACGCTGGAATCGGCCAGCACGGAGCTCACGGGGCTGGTGCTGCAGGCCGCTGCACCCCACGCACAGGGGAGGTGGGGCCCACCGAGTCCCGTTTGGAAGTGAGCTGCGTGGACTGCGTTTCCCCTTCGACCGTTAATATTTACAGTAACCACTGTTTCCCGGAAACCGGGGTCGCTGACAGCATGGGTTTTGTGGCTGGTTGCTCTTCTCGAAGCAGCATTTAAATGTGATGTATTGATTAGCAGACGCATTGATTGCTCCTGCATGTTGTGATGTTTGGAAACGGAGCGACTTCATATTTGTCTACCACCGTTTACCTCAGAATATTGAAGGGAGAGGAACTGCACTGTGGCTGATGGGTGGGCCGGCTCTTCTCCTGTCCCTCTTCTGCGCCCGCCTCAGTTCCTGAGCGCCTGGTGACGGAGAGCTGTCCTGGCTGCAGGCTGCTGGAAGTTCCAGCGGAGCCCCTCGGGCAGGAGAGGAGGCCCAGGTCCGTCCTGGGAGGGTGGGTCTGCAGCTGGATCCAGGAGTGTCTGGCCCTGGCATTTGCACCTTTTCAGGCAGCAGTCGTCTTTATTCTTTCATCTGCCAGCATTATTTCAAATTGCCTTTGATTAATGAAAAAGCATTAGTGGAATTACACATAACCACCCAGAATTTCACAGTTGATGGCATCCTCTGCGGTGGTGATTCCTAGCAGGGCTCAGCACCCCAGCTGGCCCAGGGTGCGGAGTCGACAGCCCCAGGAGGCCAGCCCGTCAAGGGGTTTGTGTCAACAACGTTACCAACATGAAACGGCTTCTAGTTATGTAACTCAGATGCATAATTTAATGTTTGCATCCATAATTTTATAATTATACCTAGTAGCTATGAGACAGATGGCATTTGCCTGAAAACAGTAGTTTATTCCATAATTTCATAACATGCTTTCTTAAAAATATATTTGAAAGACTTGGGGAGAGAGATCTTCCATCTGCTGGTTCACTCCCTAGATGACTGCAGTGGCTGGGCTGGGCCAAGTCAAAGCCGGGAGCCAGGAGTTTCATACGCGTCTCCCACATGGGTGCAGGGGCCCAAGCACTTGGTCCGTCCTCTGCTGCTTTTCCCAGGTCATCAGCAGGGAGCTGGATCAGAAGTGGAGCAGCTGGACTTGAACCAGCAACCACACGGGATGCAGGCATCACAAGCAGAGGTTTAGCCCACTATGCCACAGCGCCGCTCTAAGGTGCTTTCTTGAAAGTAGGTTTTGATAAAGGATATCTAGGGGTGGCCAAGGAATAATGGGTTTCAAGTCACACAATGAAGATAACATCAGAAGTGGGGATTGTTACAATTTAAGAGTAAAAATCTAAATAGGCACATTGTAGGGAAAAAAAATCCGTTTAAAAAATTGTGTAGGGGCCGATGTTGTGGCATAGCAGATACAGCCACTACCTGTGACAGTGGCAGCCCCTGTGGGCGTCGGTTCAAGTCCTGGCTGCTGCATTTCCAAATCCACTCCCTGCTAATAACATGGAAAAGCAGTGGAAGATGACCCAAATGCGTGGGCCCCTGCACCCACATGGGAGGCCCAGATGAAGCTCCTGGATTTGGCCTGGCTTGGTGCTGGCTGTTCCCATCAGGGGAGTGAACGAGCTGATAGAAGATCTCTGTCTCTAACTTTCAGAATAAATAAATCTTTTTTAAAAAACATTGTTTAAGGGGCCGGCGCCGTGGCTCACTTGGTTAATCCTCCACCTGCGGCACCGGCATCCCATATGGACGCTGGGTTCTAGTCTCGGTTGCTCCTCTTCCAGTCCAGCTCTGTTGTGGCCCGGGAAGGCAGTGGAGGATGGCCCAAATGCTTGGGCCACTGCACCCACATGGGAGACCAGGAAGAAGCACCTGGCTCCTGACTTTGGATCGGAACAGCTCCGGCCATAGCGGCCATTTGGGGAGTGAACCAACAGAAGGAAGACCTTTCTCTCTCTCTCTCTCTCTCTCTCTCTCTCTCTCTCACTGTCCATAACTCTGTCAAATAAAAAAAATGTGTAAAAGAAAAGGATATAGGCCGGGGCAGTGGCTCACTAGGCTAATCCTCCACCTGTGGCGCCGGCACCCCAGGTTCTAGTCCCGGTCGGGGTGCCAGATTCTGTCCCGGTTGCCCCTCTTCCAGGCCAGCTCTCTGCTGTGGCCAGGGAGTGCAATGAGGATGGCCCAAGTCCTTGGGCCCTGCACCCACATTTGGAGACCAGGAGAAGCACCTGGCTCCTGGCTTAGGATCAGCGCAGTGCACCGGCTGCAGCGGCCATTGGAGGGTGAACCAACGGCAAAAGGAAGACCTTTCTCTCTGTCTCTCTCTCGCTGTCCACTCTGCCTGTCAAAAAAAAGAAAAAGAAGAAGAAAAGAAAAGAAAAAAAGAAAAGGATATAGTAATGTTAGAACTTTGCAGCTGGTCTCACCATGACTGTAATCAGGGGCTTGGGAAGTGATATCTTTACCTGTCTCTTCCAAAGTCAGTGAGTCCATCTCTTCACCTGTCTACCTGCAGCATACCTAGGTGCACCCTCAGTGCCCAAACACTTGCTATTATTAGTATTAGTACTATGAGTAGTAGCCAGGCTGCTTAAATGTGGGAGTAGGAGAACATTGGAATGGCCCAAGACACGCTGCTGTGGACAGAAAGCCCGCCCATGCCTAAGAGCATGCTGGGCCCTACTGAAGGCACAGAGGAGCCAGCTGCAAAGGAGGCTCCCTGCAACCAGACTGGGACAGTGTACATACCACTAAGTCAGTGCACATGCCACCAAGACAGTGTATGTACCACCAAGACAGTGTACATGCCACCAAGACAGTGTACATGCCACCAAGACAGTGTACATACCACCAAGACAGTGTACGTGCCACCAAGACAGTGTACATGCCACCAAGACAGTGTACGTACCACCAAGACAGTGTA